TGTTTTATTGTAGCCATAGATCCCACAACCCTTAGTATGCTAAAGAGGTCATTCAAAGTTACGATTCGTCAGGGAAAGATGTCAGCAACATTCAACTCTTTGGAAATCTGGAAAGACATTTTTTATCTTTTGTTGTTTTGTTTTTTTTATCTAGAAGCTTAAACCACTTCAACCATCTCTCACTTTTCACACGGTTCAGTTTCTCAGCTGTAGCTATAGACGGCTTTATGCGGCTAATCTGCAGCAGACGGTTAGGCCACATTTCTAAAACGTGGTCGAGCTCAGCCAACAAGACTTCTGGTTTTTCGCCGCGTCCGGCACCTGGTGCTTTTATTTTTGGCATCACCTCTCAAAGCTGAGGCAGCACTTGAAAGGGATGTGAAACAACAGCTGTATTGTCACACGTGTCCCTGCGTGTTGCAGAGATGCAACACGCAGCAACTTCTCTCATCGGCGAGCAGCAGTCACCTTTCTAACACCTTTGTTTCCTGAGCAGGTCAAAGAGCACACTGCATCTTTCGCTTTCTCTTTCTTTTGATATATAAATGGTGTTCAAATGTTAGTTTGTGTGTAAAAAGGAAAATGAAGGAGGGAGGGCGGGGGGAAAAGTGCCGATTGTCAGAAGCTGCTAAACAATTAAGGAACTTGTTGAAGACTAAAGCAATTAGTCACTTTTAATTACCAGATGAACAAAGGGGCTTGTCAGTGACATCACCGGCTAAAATACCCACCAGGTTAAAATACAAAGAGACTGGGTAAAAACTTTAAATCAAATCTGTGTATGGTTTGTTTTTTAGTTTTTCCATTTCAAAATAAAATATGAAAAAAACAAAAAAGGGGGTGTTTTTTTTTTTTTTTAGTTTTCAAAACGAAAGAGAGGGAAATGAAAACTTTTAGAATAATAATAAAAAAGAAATTCGTATTGTTTTAATAGTTAAAACAATGTCGAGCTTTATTGGTAAACCATGGCCTAAATTGCAACCACATTACATTTTCACTTGGCTCTTCAGAAACAACCAAAGTTTCACCATCCGCTTTTGCCAATTCACATCAATTGCATATCAGTTCATTTCTCTTCGCACTAAAGCATTGTGGCGAATTAGAGAGAGATGCATGTTCCAAAAAGTCCTTCTAAATCAAGCGGTGCAACTTTAACGTTATATTTGCTGAAGTCTTACAACTATTTTCGATAGATTGTGATTCTGATGTTTGCTTTTGCTCAGTCATCTGAATTATGTTAGATTAAACGCCCTGATCAAACCTAATTAACATGACCAACTTGCTGGTAGATATTATAGTTGCATTACCACATGAAGTAACTTTAGACTATAAGTAGACCATAAATTAGCATAATGGCACGTTTGAGACATCCTGTACAAATTGACTCGAGGTTGGCGCGAAACATCCAGAGGTAATGAAATCCTTCTTATTCTAGAAAAAGTTGCTTTAAAAAGATTCAAGCTAAAAGAGGGCAAAGTAGCAAAGCAGCCAAATGACCCGGTGCCGTTTTTCAGAATAATTAATGTCACCACTTTGTTGATGATGTTTGCTTTGTAACAATGGCCGCAGTTTAGAGTAACAGACATTTGACCTCGTTAATCTTTCAAAGTCCTGTAATCATGTATTGCGTGTCCTCCAACGGGGTGAACAGGAAGTTTGCTGATGTTATGTTAAAACCACACCATAGCTTATTAATAACCATAATGCTGAAACAAAAAAAACAAAGCAATCCCCGGAAGCTGACAAAAGATTCGCTGTCTGGCTCTAGTGTCATCAAATGATTCATGCTTTCATGTAAGTAAATCTGCCCTTTCTCTTTCTAAGAACATGAGTCCCTTAAACCGGCGAACATATTTACAACGCTCTACCTCTACATTAACGCTTTGTTTGCAGAGCCAGTAGCTGTTCTTGAATTTTTACGCTTGGCTTTGCACTCATGAGCACAGGGAGCTAACCACAGACTGAGTCCTCAGTCCCTCCTCGCTTGCTTTGACTCTGACAATCAGCTTGTTTTCATTTTTGCCAATAACACGGCGGCGTCTCACGGAAACGTCACCGTGTTATGAGAAGAAGACAAAAAAAATAATAATAATAAATTACCGCAGCAAATTTCCCACAATATTGATTCTGGCTCTTGCTTTCCACACCCCGTACAAAACACCCACAAGGAGAGCTGGAGAGGACAGAACCAGTTGGAGGAGTTCGACGATTAGCTTCCCAGAACACAGAGAGCCTGCCTATGCTGGCACAACACTGCTCAGACTCGGGCTCTGCTGAGCACAACTGCCATCTCTGGGTTTTATGATACAGTTGTTGGGCTCTTACCATCTAATATTTATTTCCCCCCCCACACACACACACACACACCCATCTAACAGACACGCTACAGTGGATCTGCTCCCTGGCCTTTGTCTGCTGAATGTTTCAAAAAGCATTTTAAACTTGCCGTGAAATTCTGCTAAGATGAATTTGTTTTTAATCTAATCTAGGATAAGCTCTTGGCAGCCTTTACCAAATAGTAATAATAATAAAAATTTTAAAAAATCTGGAGACGTTTCCATGCCAAAGCAACACTCACTGACACACTGACAGCCGTTCAAGACGGGCTTGGAAACGGTGAGCAAACAGCGCTTGTGCTAAACACCGTGTTTATGCCGCTGCTACCCACAGAGTTCAGCCATAAAGTGACAGCATGAAAAAAAGAGAGCACGAGTGACAACTGCAGCTCCTGGCTGTCACACTCGTATCATTCTCATCCCTGCCTCCGACACGGGGGGAGAGAAAACAGCCGGCTAATGCTGCGGTTTCACAAACGGGAGGCTTGTGTGAGGCGGTGAGACACGGGGTTATTATTTGCTCTGCAGTTAAGGACAAGGTCGACACGGGTTATCGGAATCCAGCAGGGGTTGTTCTGCAGAAAAGGACAAAAGCAGCGGCGCGTAGTTTGGGAGGATGAGCTCTAATGGAGAAATGTGATCAATACTGGGGATGCTGTATTGACAGAAAAAGGTTGCAGTTACGGTAGATTAGGAGGTCAGCTCTGGTCAGTGGCTTGCAGGGGCGTTTGTTGCTTTCATGGCCAGCAACGTTTATATGAATAACAACATGCAGAAATCCTTCCTGAAGATGCACTCTTGACAGACGTGCTCGGATATTTACATTCTGTGGACCGTCAGACAAAATAATGATAAATGAATGGTATTATAGAAGCTAACATGTTCTTCTCTCACAGTTTTCAGCTGTTTCTCCTGATTATTCAACTATAGATTAAATTGATCAGCTTCAACTCTGAACCAAAACCAGTTGCATAGTTTTGATCCAGTGGTGTTTCTGGTTTTTCCTTTTCTTCTGTATTTTTATCGTCAAAATCAGAAATTAGTGTTGGTGTTGGCATCCAAATGACCTGTTATCTGCATCTACAGAGCAACATTCCCAAATACTTTTCTTCATGTTATAACGATGCTCTTTGCTAGATGTTAGTATAAGACATGTTTATGTTTTCTTGTGATAATATACAGGTACATGCTGTATATTATCACAGAAGTGATAATATACAGGGGTGATATAAAAGTGGGGTTCGATCCCCACTTTTCACCTGCTCGCCAATTCGGCTCTTTGGCGACTTTTACTTCATAAAAGTGGTTTAACTTTAACCCTTCCTGTCATTGGATCACTACAATCTAATAACTCATTAGATTGTAGGTATGTTTTGTGAAGCAATTAGTTTTACACTTTCTCAACAAAAATATCAAAGGACATGCGAGCCTAAAGCCAGTTGGCATGGCCAGTTTATTTGTGTGGCGTGGTTGTAAATCTATTTGCACGTGTGTTGTGGGTGTGTCCTGAATGAATTCCTCAAGATCAGATTTTTGTCATAGCGTGCACGCCAGGAGATGATACGTCTGAGGGCAACTTTCAAGAAACTTGGAATGTTTAACAAAATGTTTAAGAAATGAGAGTTGTGCATTCACCAGCTTCTGAAACCTTAGACTTTCATCCCAACATCAATGCATATAAAGTATTTGCGGTCGCTAGCATCACACATCACATAGTTAGCTAGTTATGGTTTGTCACTAACAACAACTTTATTAGTTCAGTTTTGGCCAAGTATAATAAAGATGTCAACTCAACCGTATAACTTTCATTTGGAATCACTGCAAGAAAACAAAAGTTCTTCAATATATGCATGCAAAATCCAATGTCTTAATTTGAATTCTGTATGAATTAATACATTTATAAATGAGTAAATAAAAGATGGAGAACATTTCTGTGGCATCACTGTAAATTATCCCCACCAAAACAGACACTAGGAGTTTTGAACAGTGTAGTTTCGAAATACTGGCGTTCCACAGGGATCTATGTTGGTCCTGAGTAAATTCTTTGAACATAGATACAATTATGTTTATTTTTTCAATCCACATTTGCACGTCTTTTTATGCTGATGACACCTCCTATATATCCTATATATTTTTTTTATCCGATGTTTAGATTTTCACAAATACATTACGTTGATGACATCAAGACTGTCATAATAATCTATTTGTCTTTCATAAAACATTTTATTTCCTCTGTTCTAAGACATTACAATAATAATAACTGCATTAAAAACCTTCCCTACAGTGATACAGGCCTGGTGTATTTGGCCGAGTTGTCGAACTTAACTTGAAGACGTAGCATTTAGCCGTTTCGTTGTGTCTCGGGTTTTTGTTGCATTTAATGCTCCTGTAATTAAACCTCTGAATTAAAGCATGTCTTGTTTTGCTGCCAACAAAAGCTATTTTCCCGTCTCCTCTGTTGAATAAAAGGTCTCATTGGTCTTTTCCTTCATCATCTCGATGTCTCTGTGCATCAACCCGAGGCCGCCTGTAATCAGCAGCCCTTGAGCTCTCAGAAAGGTCATTCTGTCCCTTTGATGGTGTTTTGATTCATCCCTTCCTCTTCTCTCTCCTCCCACCCTTCCTCTACTCCACCACCCTCTCCACTCCCCCTCTTTCTTGCAGGGAAGCTGGAGAGCCACTATCACCAGGGTGCCAAGAAGGGGCTGGTCCCATCAGCTGCAGTGTGACACTAGAGGAAAGGCTCTTTGCTCACATGGCACATTCACATTTTCTGGTCTCAATCTGGACTGGAGTTTATGACCAATGCTGTTTGAATCTTTGATTCTGATGACTTGTATTTGCAGCAGTCCAATAAAAGTTTGATTATTATTGTAAATGACTATTTCTTTTGCAAATCCCTATGAAGTTGTGTTTAAAAAAGATTCAAACTGCTCTTGTAGTCGCACACAGATTAGAAAAGCAGAGCCTAAACGGCTACTAGAGAAATGCAGCTCGACTTCCCTCGCTAGAGGCTGGCCTGTCATTACCCGTCTTTCACTTAGGGCCACATTTACACGAACAATAGCACTTTGTTAAAAAAGCACAGCCATGCCATTAGTTTCAATGAAACCATTTGATTACAGCAGCGAGGGCGGGGAGGGGGGGGGCGGTCGATGCCAAAGGCAACAACCAACAGGGGAAACAGGAATGCAGAAGATGGTTAACTCTGACTGAACACTGCAATCAGTCATCCTCAGTCAACATTCGTTTATTTATTTTTTCTTTTTTGAATTTTGTTTTCACCTCGAAATGGTAGCGCGGAGGACGACTAAGTACCCACTGAGAGTTGCTGGTTCTGATAAGCCCTCCGTTTGGGATTTACCTTCGATGGAATTCGATCCTCCTTCCGAGTACGTGTAGCAACATGCCAGAGCGGAGGATAACGCCTGGACACATGGGTATTTTCAGCCTAAACAACATGCGTTATCTTTCCTGGGTGTGTCCTTCCTGCTCATCTCCACAGAGCTTCAAACCTGTTTTCCACAGCAAACTCCGTAAAACAGTCGGTGCTGGATGTTGATGATCTACGTTACTGATCATTTCAGAAAATGTCGGCAACGTTCTTAACACCTAGCGTTCATAGCTCTTGTTGTTGTAGCTGATTGCGTAGTTCCAGTCTGTCACTTCAGCGTGTTAAACTGAGTACAAATGGTCTTATGAAACGCAGCCCACATGTGGGTTCAGTCTGCAAGGCCCACTGAGACCCAAGATCGCAGCAGTGATAGAGAAGGTTAAACTATGCAGCGCATGCTATTAAGTGTGTGTAATAGAATGTTGGAAAATGTTGCCAAACATGCAGTTTGTGAGTCACCTCTGCTCAGAACGAGGCAGGGCAGAAAACACAAAGATGTGGTTGATGATAAAGAAGTTTAGACTATAAGGAGAAAAGACTAGAAGACAGCAATCCTGGTGTGTTTCTCATAAAGCAAAAGTCGAGAAAAGATTGGACATGGACACATCCTGAATGGAAACACAGCGTAATCAACCAGTCACGGTTGGACTTCAACTTGACATAGTTCCCCGTAAAGCGAAGCAAACCTACAAATTGTTTTCTTTGAAGCAAACTTAAGATAAAAATGTCACTGCATAATTCAGCTTTTGAGGGAAAAAAAAAAAATCTTCCTCAGATGAATCCTTTCTTAAGCTCTACTAACTATATGTTCTTGAGAGGATTTCTCAGGAGACAACATACGTTGATGGGGTGTGTTCTGGTTTCATTTTTAATGCAGACTGGAATGTGGACATGACTTAACAAGGTTGAGTCAAAATTCTTTCATAGTACCTGCATAGACTAAAGGGTTTCACTGTCAGTCTGTTCCTCTGACAGTGAAACCCATTTTTAGATTGTGGGGGCAATAAAAGGGAATTTCATAGTTTTTTTTTTTTCTTTTTTTTTTTTTTTGTTAAATGTGGGCATTTACATTACATCAAGTTAACTGCCTGAGAGTTTCTTCTTCTATTGAATGGATATGTAGGTTAAAGTACGACCCAAAAATCATTAATGGTGAGGACAAACTGATTGGCACTCACTGTGAGCAGCATTTAAAACTCTAAATTTCTAAATTAATGTCAATTTTAGCTTCTTAGCTTAGGACAAAGCACACTTTTCTAGAAAATATTAATAGGAAGTTGAGTGGATACTGGTTAGGGCTTACATTTTTCCCGTTTGTGTTTACGCATCCTGTTTGTAACCATAAATGTCGCTCAGGAGGATTTATAAACACAGATATGAAACCTCAAATCTGGATCATCTTTGCAGTTTTAAACACAGGTCTGACACCATAAATATAACACTTGTTTGCAGTTTACAAACACTGGTCTGACACGCAAAGGCGACTCGTGTTTTTAGCTTATAAAACACATCTAAAACCCTCCAGTGAAACACACATTTACAGCTTATAAACGCAGATTTGAAACCCCAAATTCAACACCAATTGGCACTTCATGAACACAAATGAGGACTTGGCCTTTAGGCTCGATATTAACTGGTTTATTTGTTGTTGTTTTAAATGGAACCAGTTAAAATCAAGCTTAGCCCCAGTCCTAGATTAGCACTTGAACTGACTTGGTAGAAACATCAAGTAATATAGAAACTACAATAACTCCTGGTTAAAGATCCATTATTACATAAAAAGAAGTAGTCTATAGTTGGAGTGCAGCCTTTTGACGTAACTCCCCTACAAATACTAAAATAAAAATGCTACAGCTGCAATATTCACTTCAAATAATTTAAAAAAAAATAGTCACAGTTTTACATAAAAATGATCTTGGAGTCCACTGTTGCTGCTTTCCATGAGGTGCTTTAATTACATATTCAGCACCTACATCAAAAACAAACTCTGCTGTATTGGCTCCTTAACTGCTGCTGTGACAGGCTGTTCCTGACATATTTCATGCACAATGTAATTTTATGTTTTCACTTGTTTCTGCATTGCCGTGCGTGTGTGTGTGTGTGTGCGTGTGTGTATTCCTCTCAAATGTGTTGAATGGCTCCTTGACTAAGCTCTTTCAAGCCCAAGGGTGTGTTTCACCACGGTTTGAAAAGCATTGCGTGATTCACCAACACACTCTCTCTCTCTCACACACACATGATGGGTTGTTATGTTTTTTTGCCAGTGCCTGGCATTGTGATTCGCCGTTGATTAGCTTAGATTTAGTCTTGTTTGAGTTGCAGATTAGCCACAACTCTGTGCTCCGCTCCATTCAGGCTGAGGACGTGTAATTGTACCAGCCCTCCCAGTAATCTCCCAGGCTGAGAATGTAAGAGGTCTCCTTTGTAAAGATCTTCAATAGAAGGTGTTTTTTTTTTTTGTCAGAGAGGTTGCCCAAGAATTGAGTGAACTGAGCCTCTAGTGAATTAGTGATGACAGCTACTTGCCCTGTGGGTGGCCTTTTTTCTTTTTTTTCCTTCTTCTTCGTCTTCTGTTTTCCTGTCTTCCAGATCGGCTGCATTTCTCCGGATGGGAACAGACATCCAAGTTCACATAAACAAGGGCTGTTTGCTGTTACGCCGAACAATTAAGCGCATGCAGTTTTTACTAAGCCTCTTTAGATAAACACCATGAGATCATGTGCTGTTGGTTTTTCTTGTACAAAAGATGATGTGATGTGCTTGAGTGGAGCAAAGGCTCACTGTGAACCTTTTAAATTGGAAAAAGACCTGAACTACAATGAACTCATTGATGAAATGGTTGCAGCGTTCATTCAGTTCACATGTGCGTATTATACTTCATCGGATGGAAAAATGGTTAGGAGGGTTTTGTTTTTTGTTTTTTTGTTTTTTAAAGCTTGTACAAAACGAATTATGTCAAAGAGTCAATTGGGGCCACCTACAGTATTTACTGCCTAGTAAGAAGTGAGCTACTACTTAATCTTTTTTAAAGACGTTGCATTAAGAGTCAGCCTTGTTATTTAAGCTAAACCTATACAGGCTGTATTTGTATTCGTCTTCCAAGCTCTCATTTTCACATCCGTAGCTGTGCAGTAGTTGTTTCCTAAGCCTGGTTTATGCTCGACACGTCTGAGTGGACCGAATTTTCTGCACTGTGCGTCTCTAAAATGTTTGCAGCTACGCAGGCAGTTCTGTGCAGGAAAAAAAATGGAGGAAGAAAGAGACAAACGCTCGCAAAGAGAAACATTTTTAAGATTACGCCCACACATATATATTTATACATTATATATATAATTTTTTATTTTTTTTTACTTCTAAGCAAATGGCATAGTGTTGTACACATGCCATATGCGCCCTGACATGCTCCCTAGACTCCAGCAGGAAAAGCGGTTTGCTTTTCAGATTAATAATAAAATTTAAAGATTGTAAATGTGGAATCCCTCAAGGCTCAGTATTGGGACCTTTTTATATAATACAGTTGATGAAATAGTGAAACTCCACAAGCAGATCAGGTTGTATGTAAGTTGGAATAAAAGAAATATGTGATTTTTGGTAACTACAAAACAAACCCTGGTTGATTACTGTGTTTGATTAGGAAGGGAATTGGAGTTTCCCTTGAGTTATTGGAAATCTGGTAGCGACAACATAAAATGACAATAGGAAGAAGCAACAAGAATTTGATACAATGTAGCTGCAAACAGAAATACCAACAGTCGTTTTACTAAGTATCATGTTGAAATTTAAGAGCATGGCACATTTAAAAATGCTATTTCTATTTTCTAATTTTCTTTTTGCTCCCTTTCTACTGGTGTATCTTTTTCTCTTCAATTTTGTCACATTGATTTTATGAATTTGAGAAATATTCTAATAAAACTAAACTGAACTGATTGACAATGTTACAATTACTTAAAGAAAATGACAAATGTTGGGATGTTTTTGTTTTTTTAATTTGCATCATTATACAACGTTCTCTTTTTAGCAGTTTGTCTGCCCTCTGACCCTTGCAAGGGGGGCAATCTGGAGTGTAGCTGGTGCTCCTCTGCATCAGAATGAGTCAGCCGAGGTTGTTCAGGCATATGATCCGATATTGGAGACTCCCATTGGTTTCCTGTCACCTCCCACTGGGGGACTCACAACTCCCTGGACAGAATCAAAGTAAATATTCCTTCTGGCGTGAGGACATCTCTAGATTTCCAAAAACTGAGCCCGAGAGTGTATTATGTATGTTATGCCTTATAAATCTGGACCTGGATTATAGCTCTGAATACCAATCTTCTGAAGCAACATTTCTGAAGTTAAGAAAAATTTAGATGTTTGGTAAATGCTAATAGCGTAACTCTTAAAAAGGACGAGGATACAAATACTGAAGATAACAAAAATATTATCAGTTGTGGCTTGATTTAATTAATTTTTTTTTTTTTTTTTTTTTTTTTTTTTTCGCCGTT